GACTTTATTGTTGGAGTGTGTGTGTGTGTGTGTGTGAGGATGACCTGGTGTGTGTTGGTTGTGTTGGTTGTTAGTTTTTGAAAGGGGTTATTTTGTGGAATGTAGTTGTGCAGTTGGTTTTGTTCGTGGAAGCGCAGAGACGCACTAGCGTTGTCTGTGGTCGCATTGGGAACAAGAGAGAAGGATGGTTCCATAGTGGGTGAGATGGCAATGATGCTGTTTCAATGTGGGATCGTACAGTTGTATGGCGAATGATGAATTGAAGTGATAATGTAATGTGGGATTGATGATTGTTTGTGTTTGTGGTGACGTGTTTGTTTCGGTAATAACTGAGAGGGCGTTGACTTTATTGTTGGAGTGTGTGTGTGTGTGTGTGTGTGTGAGGATGACCTGGTGTGCGTTGGTTGTGTTGGTTGTTAGTTTTTGAAAGGGGTTATTTTGTGGAATGTAGTTGTGCAGTTGGTTTTGTTCGTGGAAGCGCAGAGACGCACTAGCGTTGTCTGTGGTCGCATTGGGAACAAGAGAGAAGGATGGTTCCATAGTGGGTGAGATGGCAATGATGCTGTTTCAATGTGGGATCGTACAGTTGTATGGCGAATGATGAATTGAAGTGATAATGTAATGTGGGATTGATGATTGTTTGTGTTTGTGGTGACGTGTTTGTTTCGGTAATAACTGAGAGGGCGTTGACTTTATTGTTGGAGTGTGTGTGTGTGTGTGTGTGTGTGTGAGGATGACCTGGTGTGCGTTGGTTGTGTTGGTTGTTAGTTTTTGAAAGGGGTTATTTTGTGGAATGTAGTTGTGCAGTTGGTTTTGTTCGTGGAAGCGCAGAGACGCACTAGCGTTGTCTGTGGTCGCATTGGGAACAAGAGAGAAGGATGGTTCCATAGTGGGTGAGATGGCAATGATGCTGTTTCAATGTGGGATCGTACAGTTGTATGGCGAATGATGAATTGAAGTGATAATGTAATGTGGGATTGATGATTGTTTGTGTTTGTGGTGACGTGTTTGTTTCGGTAATAACTGAGAGGGCGTTGACTTTATTGTTGGAGTGTGTGTGTGTGTGTGTGTGTGAGGATGACCTGGTGTGCGTTGGTTGTGTTGGTTGTTAGTTTTTGAAAGGGGTTATTTTGTGGAATGTAGTTGTGCAGTTGGTTTTGTTCGTGGAAGCGCAGAGACGCACTAGCGTTGTCTGTGGTCGCATTGGGAACAAGAGAGAAGGATGATTGCATAGTGGGTGAGATGGCAATGATGCTGTTTCAATGTGGGATCGTACAGTTGTATGGCGAATGATGAATTGAAGTGATAATGTAATGTGGGATTGATGATTGTTTGTGTTTGTGGTGACGTGTTTGTTTCGGTAATAACTGAGAGGGCGTTGACTTTATTGTTGGAGTGTGTGTGTGTGTGTGTGTGTGTGAGAATGACCTGGTGTGCGTTGGTTGTGTTGGTTGTGTTGGTTGTTAGTTTTTGAAAGGGGTTATTTTGTGGAATGTAGTTGTGCAGTTGGTTTTGTTCCTGGAAGCGCAGAGACGCACTAGCGTTGTCTGTGGTCGCATTGGGAACAAGAGAGAAGGATGGTTCCATAGTGGGTGAGATGGCAATGATGCTGTTTCAATGTGGGATCGTACAGTTGTATGGCGAATGATGAATTGAAGTGATAATGTAATGTGGGATTGATGATTGTTTGTGTTTGTGGTGACGTGTTTGTTTCGGTAATAACTGAGAGGGCGTTGACTTTATTGTTGGAGTGTGTGTGTGTGTGTGTGTGTGAGGATGACCTGGTGTGCGTTGGTTGTGTTGGTTGTTAGTTTTTGAAAGGGGTTATTTTGTGGAATGTAGTTGTGCAGTTGGTTTTGTTCGTGGAAGCGCAGAGACGCACTAGCGTTGTCTGTGGTCGCATTGGGAACAAGAGAGAAGGATGGTTCCATAGTGGGTGAGATGGCAATGATGCTGTTTCAATGTGGGATCGTACAGTTGTATGGCGAATGATGAATTGAAGTGATAATGTAATGTGGGATTGATGATTGTTTGTGTTTGTGGTGACGTGTTTGTTTCGGTAATAACTGAGAGGGCGTTGACTTTATTGTTGGAGTGTGTGTGTGTGTGTGTGTGTGTGAGAATGACCTGGTGTGCGTTGGTTGTGTTGGTTGTTAGTTTTTGAAAGGGGTTATTTTGTGGAATGTAGTTGTGCAGTTGGTTTTGTTCCTGGAAGCGCAGAGACGCACTAGCGTTGTCTGTGGTCGCATTGGGAACAAGAGAGAAGGATGATTGCATAGTGGGTGAGATGGCAATGATGCTGTTTCAATGTGGGATCGTACAGTTGTATGGCGAATGATGAATTGAAGTGATAATGTAATGTGGGATTGATGATTGTTTGTGTTTGTGGTGACGTGTTTGTTTCGGTAATAACTGAGAGGGCGTTGACTTTATTGTTGGAGTGTGTGTGTGTGTGTGTGTGTGTGTGTGTGTGTGAGAATGACCTGGTGTGCGTTGGTTGTGTTGGTTGTTAGTTTTTGAAAGGGGTTATTTTGTGGATTGCAGTTGTGCAGTTGGTTTTGTTCGTGGAAGCGCAGAGACGCACTAGCGTTGTCTGTGGTCGCATTGGGAACAAGAGAGAAGGATGATTGCATAGTGGGTGAGATGGCAATGATGCTGTTTCAATGTGGGATCGTACAGTTGTATGGCGAATGATGAATTGAAGTGATAATGTAATGTGGGATTGATGATTGTTTGTGTTTGTGGTGACGTGTTTGTTTCGGTAATAACTGAGAGGGCGTTGACTTTATTGTTGGAGTGTGTGTGTGTGTGTGTGTGTGTGAGAATGACCTGGTGTGCGTTGGTTGTGTTGGTTGTTAGTTTTTGAAAGGGGTTATTTTGTGGAATGTAGTTGTGCAGTTGGTTTTGTTCGTGGAAGCGCAGAGACGCACTAGCGTTGTCTGTGGTCGCATTGGGAACAAGAGAGAAGGATGGTTCCATAGTGGGTGAGATGGCAATGATGCTGTTTCAATGTGGGATCGTACAGTTGTATGGCGAATGATGAATTGAAGTGATAATGTAATGTGGGATTGATGATTGTTTGTGTTTGTGGTGACGTGTTTGTTTCGGTAATAACTGAGAGGGCGTTGACTTTATTGTTGGAGTGTGTGTGTGTGTGTGTGTGTGTGTGAGGATGACCTGGTGTGCGTTGGTTGTGTTGGTTGTTAGTTTTTGAAAGGGGTTATTTTGTGGAATGTAGTTGTGCAGTTGGTTTTGTTCGTGGAAGCGCAGAGACGCACTAGCGTTGTCTGTGGTCGCATTGGGAACAAGAGAGAAGGATGGTTCCATAGTGGGTGAGATGGCAATGATGCTGTTTCAATGTGGGATCGTACAGTTGTATGGCGAATGATGAATTGAAGTGATAATGTAATGTGGGATTGATGATTGTTTGTGTTTGTGGTGACGTGTTTGTTTCGGTAATAACTGAGAGGGCGTTGACTTTATTGTTGGAGTGTGTGTGTGTGTGTGTGTGTGTGTGAGAATGACCTGGTGTGCGTTGGTTGTGTTGGTTGTTAGTTTTTGAAAGGGGTTATTTTGTGGAATGTAGTTGTGCAGTTGGTTTTGTTCGTGGAAGCGCAGAGACGCACTAGCGTTGTCTGTGGTCGCATTGGGAACAAGAGAGAAGGATGGTTCCATAGTGGGTGAGATGGCAATGATGCTGTTTCAATGTGGGATCGTACAGTTGTATGGCGAATGATGAATTGAAGTGATAATGTAATGTGGGATTGATGATTGTTTGTGTTTGTGGTGACGTGTTTGTTTCGGTAATAACTGAGAGGGCGTTGACTTTATTGTTGGAGTGTGTGTGTGTGTGTGTGTGTGTGAGGATGACCTGGTGTGCGTTGGTTGTGTTGGTTGTTAGTTTTTGAAAGGGGTTATTTTGTGGATTGCAGTTGTGCAGTTGGTTTTGTTCGTGGAAGCGCAGAGACGCACTAGCGTTGTCTGTGGTCGCATTGGGAACAAGAGAGAAGGATGGTTCCATAGTGGGTGAGATGGCAATGATGCTGTTTCAATGTGGGATCGTACAGTTGTATGGCGAATGATGAATTGAAGTGATAATGTAATGTGGGATTGATGATTGTTTGTGTTTGTGGTGACGTGTTTGTTTCGGTAATAACTGAGAGGGCGTTGACTTTATTGTTGGAGTGTGTGTGTGTGTGTGTGTGTGTGAGGATGACCTGGTGTGCGTTGGTTGTGTTGGTTGTTAGTTTTTGAAAGGGGTTATTTTGTGGAATGTAGTTGTGCAGTTGGTTTTGTTCCTGGAAGCGCAGAGACGCACTAGCGTTGTCTGTGGTCGCATTGGGAACAAGAGAGAAGGATGGTTCCATAGTGGGTGAGATGGCAATGATGCTGTTTCAATGTGGGATCGTACAGTTGTATGGCGAATGATGAATTGAAGTGATAATGTAATGTGGGATTGATGATTGTTTGTGTTTGTGGTGACGTGTTTGTTTCGGTAATAACTGAGAGGGCGTTGACTTTATTGTTGGAGTGTGTGTGTGTGTGTGTGTGTGTGTGAGAATGACCTGGTGTGCGTTGGTTGTGTTGGTTGTTAGTTTTTGAAAGGGGTTATTTTGTGGAATGTAGTTGTGCAGTTGGTTTTGTTCGTGGAAGCGCAGAGACGCACTAGCGTTGTCTGTGGTCGCATTGGGAACAAGAGAGAAGGATGGTTCCATAGTGGGTGAGATGGCAATGATGCTGTTTCAATGTGGGATCGTACAGTTGTATGGCGAATGATGAATTGAAGTGATAATGTAATGTGGGATTGATGATTGTTTGTGTTTGTGGTGACGTGTTTGTTTCGGTAATAACTGAGAGGGCGTTGACTTTATTGTTGGAGTGTGTGTGTGTGTGTGTGTGTGTGTGAGAATGACCTGGTGTGCGTTGGTTGTGTTGGTTGTTAGTTTTTGAAAGGGGTTATTTTGTGGAATGTAGTTGTGCAGTTGGTTTTGTTCGTGGAAGCGCAGAGACGCACTAGCGTTGTCTGTGGTCGCATTGGGAACAAGAGAGAAGGATGGTTCCATAGTGGGTGAGATGGCAATGATGCTGTTTCAATGTGGGATCGTACAGTTGTATGGCGAATGATGAATTGAAGTGATAATGTAATGTGGGATTGATGATTGTTTGTGTTTGTGGTGACGTGTTTGTTTCGGTAATAACTGAGAGGGCGTTGACTTTATTGTTGGAGTGTGTGTGTGTGTGTGTGTGTGTGTGAGAATGACCTGGTGTGCGTTGGTTGTGTTGGTTGTTAGTTTTTGAAAGGGGTTATTTTGTGGAATGTAGTTGTGCAGTTGGTTTTGTTCGTGGAAGCGCAGAGACGCACTAGCGTTGTCTGTGGTCGCATTGGGAACAAGAGAGAAGGATGGTTCCATAGTGGGTGAGATGGCAATGATGCTGTTTCAATGTGGGATCGTACAGTTGTATGGCGAATGATGAATTGAAGTGATAATGTAATGTGGGATTGATGATTGTTTGTGTTTGTGGTGACGTGTTTGTTTCGGTAATAACTGAGAGGGCGTTGACTTTATTGTTGGAGTGAAGGTGTGTGTGTGTGTGTGTGAGAATGACCTGGTGTGCGTTGGTTGTGTTGGTTGTGTTGGTTGTTAGTTTTTGAAAGGGGTTATTTTGTGGAATGTAGTTGTGCAGTTGGTTTTGTTCGTGGAAGCGCAGAGACGCACTAGCGTTGTCTGTGGTCGCATTGGGAACAAGAGAGAAGGATGGTTCCATAGTGGGTGAGATGGCAATGATGCTGTTTCAATGTGGGATCGTACAGTTGTATGGCGAATGATGAATTGAAGTGATAATGTAATGTGGGATTGATGATTGTTTGTGTTTGTGGTGACGTGTTTGTTTCGGTAATAACTGAGAGGGCGTTGACTTTATTGTTGGAGTGTGTGTGTGTGTGTGTGTGTGTGTGTGTGTGAGAATGACCTGGTGTGCGTTGGTTGTGTTGGTTGTTAGTTTTTGAAAGGGGTTATTTTGTGGAATGTAGTTGTGCAGTTGGTTTTGTTCGTGGAAGCGCAGAGACGCACTAGCGTTGTCTGTGGTCGCATTGGGAACAAGAGAGAAGGATGGTTCCATAGTGGGTGAGATGGCAATGATGCTGTTTCAATGTGGGATCGTACAGTTGTATGGCGAATGATGAATTGAAGTGATAATGTAATGTGGGATTGATGATTGTTTGTGTTTGTGGTGACGTGTTTGTTTCGGTAATAACTGAGAGGGCGTTGACTTTATTGTTGGAGTGTGTGTGTGTGTGTGTGTGTGAGAATGACCTGGTGTGCGTTGGTTGTGTTGGTTGTTAGTTTTTGAAAGGGGTTATTTTGTGGAATGTAGTTGTGCAGTTGGTTTTGTTCGTGGAAGCGCAGAGACGCACTAGCGTTGTCTGTGGTCGCATTGGGAACAAGAGAGAAGGATGATTGCATAGTGGGTGAGATGGCAATGATGCTGTTTCAATGTGGGATCGTACAGTTGTATGGCGAATGATGAATTGAAGTGATAATGTAATGTGGGATTGATGATTGTTTGTGTTTGTGGTGACGTGTTTGTTTCGGTAATAACTGAGAGGGCGTTGACTTTATTGTTGGAGTGTGTGTGTGTGTGTGTGTGTGTGAGAATGACCTGGTGTGCGTTGGTTGTGTTGGTTGTTAGTTTTTGAAAGGGGTTATTTTGTGGAATGTAGTTGTGCAGTTGGTTTTGTTCGTGGAGGCGCAGAGACGCACTAGCGTTGTCTGTGGTCGCATTGGGAACAAGAGAGAAGGATGGTTCCATAGTGGGTGAGATGGCAATGATGCTGTTTCAATGTGGGATCGTACAGTTGTATGGCGAATGATGAATTGAAGTGATAATGTAATGTGGGATTGATGATTGTTTGTGTTTGTGGTGACGTGTTTGTTTCGGTAATAACTGAGAGGGCGTTGACTTTATTGTTGGAGTGTGTGTGTGTGTGTGTGTGTGAGAATGACCTGGTGTGCGTTGGTTGTGTTGGTTGTTAGTTTTTGAAAGGGGTTATTTTGTGGAATGTAGTTGTGCAGTTGGTTTTGTTCGTGGAAGCGCAGAGACGCACTAGCGTTGTCTGTGGTCGCATTGGGAACAAGAGAGAAGGATGATTGCATAGTGGGTGAGATGGCAATGATGCTGTTTCAATGTGGGATCGTACAGTTGTATGGCGAATGATGAATTGAAGTGATAATGTAATGTGGGATTGATGATTGTTTGTGTTTGTGGTGACGTGTTTGTTTCGGTAATAACTGAGAGGGCGTTGACTTTATTGTTGGAGTGTGTGTGTGTGTGTGTGTGTGAGAATGACCTGGTGTGCGTTGGTTGTGTTGGTTGTTAGTTTTTGAAAGGGGTTATTTTGTGGAATGTAGTTGTGCAGTTGGTTTTGTTCGTGGAGGCGCAGAGACGCACTAGCGTTGTCTGTGGTCGCATTGGGAACAAGAGAGAAGGATGATTGCATAGTGGGTGAGATGGCAATGATGCTGTTTCAATGTGGGATCGTACAGTTGTATGGCGAATGATGAATTGAAGTGATAATGTAATGTGGGATTGATGATTGTTTGTGTTTGTGGTGACGTGTTTGTTTCGGTAATAACTGAGAGGGCGTTGACTTTATTGTTGGAGTGTGTGTGTGTGTGTGTGTGTGTGAGAATGACCTGGTGTGCGTTGGTTGTGTTGGTTGTTAGTTTTTGAAAGGGTTATTTTGTGGAATGTAGTTGTGCAGTTGGTTTTGTTCGTGGAAGCGCAGAGACGCACTAGCGTTGTCTGTGGTCGCATTGGGAACAAGAGAGAAGGATGGTTCCATAGTGGGTGAGATGGCAATGATGCTGTTTCAATGTGGGATCGTACAGTTGTATGGCGAATGATGAATTGAAGTGATAATGTAATGTGGGATTGATGATTGTTTGTGTTTGTGGTGACGTGTTTGTTTCGGTAATAACTGAGAGGGCGTTGACTTTATTGTTGGAGTGTGTGTGTGTGTGTGTGTGTGTGAGAATGACCTGGTGTGTGTTGGTTGTGTTGGTTGTTAGTTTTTGAAAGGGGTTATTTTGTGGAATGTAGTTGTGCAGTTGGTTTTGTTCGTGGAAGCGCAGAGACGCACTAGCGTTGTCTGTGGTCGCATTGGGAACAAGAGAGAAGGATGGATTGCATAGTGGGTGAGATGGCAATGATGCTGTTTCAATGTGGGATCGTACAGTTGTATGGCGAATGATGAATTGAAGTGATAATGTAATGTGGGATTGATGATTGTTTGTGTTTGTGGTGACGTGTTTGTTTCGGTAATAACTGAGAGGGCGTTGACTTTATTGTTGGAGTGAGTGTGTGTGTGTGTGTGTGTGAGAATGACCTGGTGTGTGTTGGTTGTGTTGGTTGTTAGTTTTTGAAAGGGGTTATTTTGTGGAATGTAGTTGTGCAGTTGGTTTTGTTCGTGGAGGCGCAGAGACGCACTAGCGTTGTCTGTGGTCGCATTGGGAACAAGAGAGAAGGATGGTTCCATAGTGGGTGAGATGGCAATGATGCTGTTTCAATGTGGGATCGTACAGTTGTATGGCGAATGATGAATTGAAGTGATAATGTAATGTGGGATTGATGATTGTTTGTGTTTGTGGTGACGTGTTTGTTTCGGTAATAACTGAGAGGGCGTTGACTTTATTGTTGGAGTGTGTGTGTGTGTGTGTGTGTGTGAGAATGACCTGGTGTGTGTTGGTTGTGTTGGTTGTTAGTTTTTGAAACGGGTTATTTTGTGGAATGTAGTTGTGCAGTTGGTTTTGTTCGTGGAGGCGCAGAGACGCACTAGCGTTGTCTGTGGTCGCATTGGGAACAAGAGAGAAGGATGGTTCCATAGTGGGTGAGATGGCAATGATGCTGTTTCAATGTGGGATCGTACAGTTGTATGGCGAATGATGAATTGAAGTGATAATGTAATGTGGGATTGATGATTGTTTGTGTTTGTGGTGACGTGTTTGTTTCGGTAATAACTGAGAGGGCGTTGACTTTATTGTTGGAGTGAGTGTGTGTGTGTGTGTGTGTGAGAATGACCTGGTGTGTGTTGATTGTGTTGGTTGATAGTTTTTGAAAGGGGTTATTTTGTGGAATGTAGTTGTGCAGTTGGTTTTGTTCGTGGAGGCGCAGAGACGCACTAGCGTTGTCTGTGGTCGCATTGGGAACAAGAGAGAAGGATGGTTCCATAGTGGGTGAGATGGCAATGATGCTGTTTCAATGTGGGATCGTACAGTTGTATGGCGAATGATGAATTGAAGTGATAATGTAATGTGGGATTGATGATTGTTTGTGTTTGTGGTGACGTGTTTGTTTCGGTAATAACTGAGAGGGCGTTGAATTTATTGTGGGAGTGAGTGTGTGTGTGTGTGTGTGTGAGAATGACGTGGTGTCTGTTGATTGTGTTGTTTGTTAGTGTTTGAGAGAGGTTATTTTGTGGAATGTAGTTGTGCAGTTGGTTTTGTTCGTGGAGGCGCAGAGACGCACTAGCGTTGTCTGTGGTCGCATTGGGAACAAGAGAGAAGGATGATTGCATAGTGGGTGAGATGGCAATGATGCTGTTTCAATGTGGGATCGTACAGTTGTATGGCGAATGATGAATTGAAGTGATAATGTAATGTGGGATTGATGATTGTTTGTGTTTGTGGTGACGTGTTTGTTTCGGTAATAACTGAGAGGGCGTTGAATTTATTGTGGAAGTGTGTGTGTGTGTGTGTGTGTGTGAGAATGACCTGGTGTGTGTTGATTGTGTTGGTTGATAGTTTTTGAAAAGGGTTATTTTGTGGAATGTAGTTGTGCAGTTGGTTTTGTTCGTGGAGGCGCAGAGACGCACTAGCGTTGTCTGTGGTCGCATTGGGAACAAGAGAGAAGGATGGTTCCATAGTGGGTGAGATGGCAATGATGCTGTTTCAATGTGGGATCGTACAGTTGTATGGCGAATGATGAATTGAAGTGATAATGTAATGTGGGATTGATGATTGTTTGTGTTTGTGGTGACGTGTTTGTTTCGGTCATTACTGAGAGGGCCTTGAATTTATTGTGGGAGTGAGTGTGTGTGTGTGTGTGTGTGTGAGAATGACCTGGTGTGTGTTGATTGTGTTGGTTGATAGTTTTCGAGAGAGGTTATTTTGTGGAATGTAGTTGTGCAGTTGGTTTTGTTCGTGGAGGCGCAGAGACGCACTAGCGTTGTCTGTGGTCGCATTGGGAACAAGAGAGAAGGATGGTTCCATAGTGGGTGAGATGGCAATGATGCTGTTTCAATGTGGGATCGTACAGTTGTATGGCGAATGATGAATTGAAGTGATAATGTAATGTGGGATTGATGATTGTTTGTGTTTGTGGTGACGTGTTTGTTTCGGTCATTACTGAGAGGGCCTTGAATTTATTGTGGGAGTGAGTGTGTGTGTGTGTGTGTGTGTGAGAATGACCTGGTGTGTGTTGATTGTGTTGGTTGATAGTTTTCGAGAGAGGTTATTTTGTGGAATGTAGTTGTGCAGTTG